TTTACTTTCCGGTGGAATGGTGGCTAGCCTAGAGGCTAGCTCGGTTCGATACTTGAAAGCAACAGAAGTTGCAACCAGCTTGCTTATATCAATCCGTTGATGGCGGTCACTTCGTTGTCCACTGAAAAGTAAGGCAAGATTGGCGCAAACCAAGGCATGGTCAGAGTCTAGATAGGTACTCCAAAAGGAGCGGCAGTCTTGTACACAACCACGCCAACGGTAGCTGATCGCGATGTGATCAATCTGAGTCCAGGCTTGAGATGCAGAGGGAGGACGCCAGGTGGCACATCGGCGATGACTGTGCCGAAAGTTAGTGCTAGCCAGAAACAGGTTGTGGTCTGTACATAGTTGCAGTAGACGGTCCCCGTTATCTGACCTGCGACCAACGAGTCCCCATCGGCCACCTTAACGGTTCTCTTCTGTGCCTAGACGCCCGACCTGAGCATTCAAGTCTCCGGCTAGTACTACAATATCTGTCGAACGCACTTTCTGGAGAAGAACAGATAACTGGTGGTAAAACTCATCCTTGATTGCATCCGGGCTGCAATCTGTCGGGGCATAGGCGGAGATGACGAAAAGACATCGTTTCTCACGCCGATTTCTTCTCACTTTTATGGAACTTTCTAATCTAACAGTACATAACCGACTGTTAATGGGGATCCAATCGACTAGTGCTGCCTCAGCTCTAGCGCTTAGTGCTCCACCAACGCCAGCGAGACCAGACGAAGATTCTACAGGGTCCCCGGATAAGCGCACGTGAAACAAGCTTTTTGAAGCGACAGGTGGAGAGCGAATTTGTAGTACTTCACCAGAGTCTTGAATATGGGTCTCGGATAGACAGCAGACATCGATATTAAGACTTTCCAAAGACATAGCCAGCCCTATCTGTTGTCCAACCTGCATAAGTGTGCGAACGTTGAAGGCAGCCAGTTTGAATGGTGCACGTGGTTTCAGAAAAACTGCTTCAGTACTCATATTCGGTGGAAACATGTAATTTTCAACCGGACAGTGACACGAGAACGTTTAGATACAGTCGAATTTCCACCAAAGACGAGCCGCTGTATAAGTATAAAAGAGGGTGAATAATGTGGTAATTAATAATAATAATAATAATAATAATAATAATAATAATAATAATAATAATAATAATAATAATAATAATAATAATAATAATAATAGTAATAATAATAATAATAATAATGACAATAATTGTAATGATAATAATTTGAATCAATTGATTGTTTTTCGAAGCGAGAAAAGTAATTTCCATAAACATAGAGAGTTCATCATTTGTGTGTGGGCTGTGATACTGCCCGGGTGCCGAAACCGAAGCAGGTGGTTATCTTAGGGGGCTACACCCCGAGCCTTTGACCTAAAGGTCTAACCCACAAGGCAGTGGAGCATCGTAAGGAGATGCAATCCCATGGTAGCCGATGACCAACGAGTGGTTCATACGCCATTTGTTCCCGCAGGATACTGGAGCCCATGTGCACCATTGGTTTGTGATCCGGTTAAAGCGCTGGACATTCGCTTTTCGTCCTCTCATTTTCGTAAACAACACCCCCGCCACGAGACGGCAATGAATAGGACTTTTCTGGCAGAGGCTGTATACGCGCGGCCGTGTGAGAGCATTTCGTGAGGGAGAGCGGACTCTCCCCACTCTCGGCCGTACCAGGGCATTAGGGGGCAAGTAGCGAAGTGACTGAAATAAAAGTGGCAGCGGATGTCTCGTCGAAGAAACCAAACACTAACGAGTTGTGCACAAAGTATGAGATGGGGAGCGGTATGGATTTTGTGACAAAGTGAAGCACAAAATCCCGATAAGTAACGATCGAGTAAATATATTTGGGACACGCCGTGTCTCGGTGCATTTAGAGGCCGAGGTAAATCGACAGGTTCAGGAGATGTTGAAAGAAGGTATAATTGAGCAAGTGGACAGCCCGTATAGCTCGCCGGTACTCTTGGTAAAGAAACCTAATGGGAAGTATAGATTTTGTGTCGACTTCAGAGAGCTGAATAATATAACAGATCTGAAACGTTGTGCAATGCCAACAGTGGTGGAAACGTTAGATCGGCTACAGAATGCTACGGTGTTTACAGTGCTGGATTTGCGGTCAAGTTATTGGCAACTGCCTATAAAAGATAGCAATCGAAGCAAGACATCATTTACTGTACGTAATAAACAGTATCAATTTAAACGAATACCGTTCGGGTTGGCGGGTGCACCGTTTACGTTCAGAAGATTAATAGTGCTACTACTCAAAAATCTAGGCAACGTCGAGGTATATGGCGACGATGTAGTTGTGTACAGTCAGACAAAAACAGATCACGTCAAGCATGTGGAAGCAGTCTTAAAGCGAATTTACGAATCCGGACTTCGAATTAATAAGGATGAGTCGCAGATAGCGAAAAGCAGCGTCACGTTGTTGGGACATAAAGTGGGAAATGGAGAAATAAAACCATTGCCGGAGAAAATTCTTACCATAAGGAATGTTTCAGTGCCTAATTCGAAAAGAAAGTTGAGACAGTTCTTGGGAAGGGCGGCGTTTTACAATCGGTTTGTCAAGAATTTCAACAAAATAGCAGCACCCCTATATAAGTTGTTGAGCAACACTAAGTTTACGTGAACTGAGACTGCCGAACGAACGTTCAACCAGATCAAAAACATGCTAGACGATCGTCGGATGACACTGAGGCTGCCTGAACCCGAGAAACCGTTTAGTGGACACAGACGCAACTGATCATAATGTAGGTGCGTCTTGAGTCAGTCTGATAGAGTGGTGGGATAAGCGAATCGCGTTCTCACACCCGCCGAACAGGAGTATTCAACGATAAACAAGGAGTGTTTAGCAGTAGTGTGGGCAGTAGACAAATGGAGACCGTACCTTTTAGGTAGACGATTCCACATTGAGACTGACCATAAACCCCTGCAGTGGTTGAAAACAGCAAGGGAAGTTGGCGCGATGGATGATACATCTGCAAGAGTACGACTTCAGTATCGGCCATGCTCCAGGGAAGGAAAACGTAATGGCGGATTACTTGTCAAGACCAGACATGGAAGCCGACCTTCCATTGACAACATACGCGGTGAAGAGTTTAGATGGAGACCCATTAGAACTCGTCCAGCAGCAGAAAGCTGACCCTAACCTTCGAGAGGTAATCAGAGTGATAAGAGAGGTAGCAGACGTCGACAAACGAACAATGGACAAGGAGGTAATAATGCTGCTTCGGCAAAAGAACTGACTGAGAGTGAACGCATATAGAGTCCTGACCTGGCAGGACGATGACGAGAATTGGATGGCTGTGATCCCGAAAGACTGGCGGCGTAAGATGATACACGAGTGTCACCAGGTAGCACATGCAGGCATCACGGGAACGACGGATTTACTACGGCAAAGTGCATACTGGCCAGGCATGAGAGACAATGTGGCTTAATACGTGTTAACTTGCCAGCTGTGTCAACTAATGAAAAGCGATCGATACGCACAACCGCCATTACAGTCAATCCCAGTAACCGCAGTTGGTGGTCTATGGTCGGAGGATGTGATGGGACCGTTTCTACAGACGGCGAGTGGTAACCAGCACCTGCTAGTGTTGACGGAACATGCTACACGTTGGGTAGATGCCGTACCCATTGCAGACCAATGGGCAAAAACAGTGACCGAAGTGGTAATCAGGATATCGTAGCGTGTCACGGAATACCGAAGAAACTCCAATTCTTGAGGCGCTACAAACCACTAGGCCCAGATGACCTAACTCCGGCCCCTTTTAAAGATGGTGGTGACTTTCTGGCTTCGGAACTGGCTGAGTTGTTTGCAAAGTCTGGCAGTTAGAGACTGTTCCAACATCATGGAATGAGTCGATAGTTGTCCCTATCTTTAAAAAGGGTCCACATCACCTATGCAAAAACTATCTGGAGATAGGTCTACTTCCGATTGCGTCCAAGCTATTGGCTTCCATCATATTTTGTAGATTGTTCAGAACCCGTGGAAGATTGACTCGCGAGGAGTAGGTTGGTTTTCGTTCTGGTCGAAGATGTATTGATCATATCTTCAACCTACGCCAAATGTTAGAACACCCTCATACTTATTACAGGTCAACAATCGTTGTGTTTCTTGACATGGCTGCCTTCGATTCGTTGGACAGGACTGTTCTCTGGGATTGTCTATTGAAGAAGGGTGTGCCTGAAAAGTTTATTAATATCTTGAATTTTCTGTATACAACCTATTCCAACTCCATTGTTATTCTTCGAATATGTGATTGCTGACAGTCTGAAAACAACTGTAATGATTGCAGGTAACGTTGATGTAGATCTCTTACAAGAGAAAAATCCTTTCAATATTTATGTGACCGGTATTAGCTTACCTAATTAGCTGACTATCAGTGTCCGTATGTATAGTATGTACTTAACGCCTAATTGCAAGGTAATTTTACATGACTGGTAGAAGCATGTTATCAGATTCACTAATATAACGGTTAAACTAACTTGAATAACTCACATTGCCAATATTTACGTATTTAAATAAATAAAATATTCCATCTGTTTACCAAAGCTCATCCAGTGTGTTTATTTGAAAATGAACAAGACATTTAGTCTCGATGATTGTTCTACACAACCTGCTTTTTTCTTATCAATCGTTTATCTTTGTGAAGTTTTATATAACACATTTGCTAGTCACCGTGTTGAATTGCGTGTGCAAATATCGTCTTATGCTTTTTGATATTAGCCGTGTTTCTCTCATATTTTTAATTAGGGTTTACGCCTATCCATTTTCATGAGTTGACTCAAAATATGAGTCGTTAGTTTACGGGTTACTCAGTTTTCATGAAGTAAATCCTCTTTAAATCAATCACATGAACATTCATAAAACAAATACGATATGGTTTTCAAATAAATGAGATTTTTCAATTTCGTCAGTCTGCTTTTACATTCCATTTTATCATACATTTAAGATAAACAACCACCCAAAAGGTGTACAGGTTTTTGTACTTTTTTTCAGCTATTGCACATACAGGACCTGTGCTAGGCCTCAAATTTTCATCAGATGGCTTGCATTTAATTTCATGGGGTGGTTCCGGTTTAACCGTAAATGCTGCATCCCTTCGTCTTTGGACGTCTGGTCCTGGTGATTGTGAGCAATCATCACATATTCCTAGATTGCGTCCCGTGAACTTTGGAAACATAATTCTCAACTCGGAAAGTAACCAAATTTCTGACGCTGGGAATCAAACTTTTACAAGTTCTAATTCCTCAGGAAGTGGGAATCAGAGTCCACAATCGTCTGTTTTGCCAATAAGATTGGATACCACACATATGTCAATAGGCGATTTGTGGGGAGCTCCATCGTTATGTATTTTTGTTCCTGTAAAAAACCGCTTATTAATTGCTTCAGCGTCTAAACACAACACATCGACTAAAATTATAACGCGACACTTTTCAAAAGTGGGTTTCTTGAATTATCCCAACTGTTTTTCATTTGTTAGTTAACTCACTATTTTGTTATACACTGTGGCTTTGATATTCATATCTTATACCTAACTAAATATGCAAAAAAGTCTTTGTAGATGTACTTTATTTTTACTATTGACCAGACTTACAATTCAGTTATTCTTAGATTCACTTCGGTACATATCGGAATCATAATCCTAGTGCCAATGTGCGACATCCCTAATAACCTTAGTAACTTCAGATTGGTTCTAATTAGCCTACTTATCTATAATTCAATATCTTAGTTGTCATCTCCTAACGTCTCTTTGTAGGTACATACCTCACCCGAATAATAGTTGAAGTAGTTTGATAAGTGTTACATCAGCTTCCTACATCCCTACCAGTTTCTTCATTAGGTAATACAACCTTTCGAGTGCGCGAAATTGCCTAACTCTATTCAGTTCAATGCATCATGACTGAAGCCAAACTTGGTGTGCTAGTTAGTCGTGGTCTAGTTAATTTGTATGTTTAAGTGCTAACTGTTTCTTTTTCATGGTTCATTAGTTTAGCGTTGATTCAGACTGAAGCACACATCCCACGAATGCATTTGGACGTGCATCCATTATTGAGGCTTTACTTCTAAGTACTTATATTTAAAATACCGTTTGTCCTCAGCAGAGTTTTTATGAATTTTAGATACGTGCATGTGTTTGGAACGATCGTCGTTTAGAATTGTATACCTGCGGAGCTGACGGAAATCTGTTTACATGGCCCATTCTTCCTCTTTCAAGCAGCAATGTGATTGATGATGATCAATTTTAATTTATACACCTTAGTATTTTGTAAATAAACATGTATAGTGATAATTGAAATCTTATAATTAACTATTGCACACTTGTGTTTTTATTACTGAATATGCCTATCAGAACTAATGAATCCAATTGCCAGTTGACTGCTGTTTTTAGTAAATCAAATGAAAGAGTTATAACATTAATACTATGTAGTTTTAGTTGAATTATCCATAATTGTTGTCAAGTGTCATATGTCGTACAAAGTTGAACAAAGGTGAACCTTAGTGATTGGTATATTTAATAGTTATCGTTTACGATCAGTCTTGTGGTAACCATTTATCAACTGATTAAGTAAGTGATACATTTTTAGCGTCTCGGGAAATGTCTTATTCGTTGGTACTAGAAAGCATGAATTACAATTTCGTCGTAAAAATACCTTGGAAATTATTTTTAATATTGACATTTATTTGTGAGATGTGGTAAATAGCTTCTTGCTTTTAGGGTTTATTGGGAAATGTATGTCGCCTTTAATAACGGTTCAGATATTGCGTACGTGACAAATAGGCGAATCACGACTGTACTGTCTCCTTATTGCTAACTTTATATATAAAAAACTTCCTTCGAACTACTAGTATTTTAGTGTTATAGCTATAAAAGTTGAACTGATTTATCTTCTTACAAGTGCTCCTTTTCATTTCGAATCATGATCGACTTAGTTGAACTAATATTGGACTTGATTTTGAACATACAGCTTATTTACAACTTTTTTATTCAAACCAATGGAATATCGGACCCATAATTGATTTCCTATATATAGTCTCTGGAACTGTGACCTGCACTTTTGAGCAGAACCTTAAGAAACAGTACAACAATTCTGAATGCAACAGCTAAGTGTATCAGAAAAGGTAACAGAAAGGTATCAGAGTATAAAAAATATGCTTCTCATATAACAATTCATTTGCTGGGTACGCTTGATGTATTTTCTAGTAATGTTTCGAATCCCAGCCAGTTTTGAAACATAGCATTGTTACGGGGTAGTCATTTTCGTATCGAGTATTCGAAAATGGTTGTTGTTTATTTGGTGCTAGTGTTTGATTCCAGTTCATATGGAGTTGCTTCAAGTATTTATAAGGCACCACTATGCGAAAAACCTTATTCTTACGATCTGTTTACAAGAAATTATATACTTTGCCACACGTTATTTCAATATCATATCTCTTTGACGTCCCTTAATCATTCGTCTCCTAATGTATTTTGAGGCCTATTGCTGCAGAGGCGGCTGCTAAACTGGCTGTCTTCATCCGCATTTGTTGCTGTGTAAGGGATAGAAAATCTAGGTGTTCCACGACGTCTAGATTATTTAGTTGCGTCCGAGGTTTGCGTGATTCTGTTGAGATGCGGAAATCTTCATAATCCAATCAAACACCGGAAGAAAGAAAAGCCGAGAACAAGCAATCAGCCTTGTCTAACACTGATCTCCACTTGCAATGAATCTGTGAGTTGTCTTGCATGCATCACTTAGTCCGTATGGTGATCTTGTCAAATACTCCATATGTCGAAGAGGGATGCATAACGTTTTCCTATCGGCGCTGTTCATTCGTCTTAGTTAAGGAAAATGAAGTGACGAGTTCCATCCAATTGATTGCTCAACGATGATCCGTAGTCAACTGGAAACCCTGAACCCGGGTTTCGTGCTGCTTGGCACTCGTCAGCAAGGTGTACCTGTAATCTTGAAGGAACTGGTGCTCCCTGGCGGATTCGATCTCGTGTCACCTAGCTTCACAGTCAGAGACGTTACTACTGAGCTATCCGAGCCGCGACTGACCTCCTGTAGGACTGAGATGTAATCACAATTGATTGATCACTGAGTGGTGATCAATGTCATGCTTGTCTAGTCCTTATTAGTGCAGATCGAATGCTATCGATCATGTTGCAATGTGGCCACCAGTCTAGGTGACTCGACACTGCAGACACTATATATTGAGATTTAGCTCAATGGTAACGTCTCTGACTGTGAAGCTAGGTGACACGAGATCGAATCCGCCAGGGAGCACCAGTTTCCTCAAGATTACAGGTACAACTTGCTGACGAGTGCCAAGTGGCACGAAACCCGGGTTCAGGGTTTCCTGTTGACTACCTCCAACCACAATCTAAATCTCAATATATAGTGCCTGCAGTGTCGAGTCACCTAGACTGGTGGCCACATTGCAACATGATCGATAGCATTCGATCTGCACTAATAAGGACTAGACAAGCATGACATTGATCACCACCCAGTGATCAATCAATTGTGATGATTCGTAGTGTCGCGATTTGGCCTGTGTACGGAATCGAGCCTGTTGATCTTGAAGCTGAATCTTTCATCTGGTTTAGCGATATTCTGTTGAAAACTTTTCCTGGTACCGGTAGTAGTGTAATACCTCTGTAGTTCTCACATTTGTTCAGATCTTTCTTTGGTATCTTGATGCGGTATTCTTCCCGGTCTGCCAGCAATTGTTCTTACTCCCAAATCTCTGAATAGAACGTGGAGCATCTTTACAGTTGCTTCTATGTCTGAATTCAGTACTTTAGCTGATATGTTTTCAGGTCCTGCTGCTTTCCCACTTTTGATTTGTCTTATGGCCATGCTGATTTCTTCGATAATTGGTGAAGTGACAGCTATAGGAATATGTATGTATACCGCTTTAATGTCCGGAGAGTTCAGTGGGGCTGGTCTACTCAAGAGTTCTTCGGAGTGTTCAACCCACCTGTTCCTGTGTTCTTGAATCTGTGATTTCCTGCCTTGTCAATTAAGTAATTTCGTACTCTAAATTAGTCATACCTTGTGTCGTATTTCCTTACTACACGGGTACCAAAAGCTACATAAAAATACTATAACAATGGTGAAGAAATATTCCAACGTCTATTGTATCTATCAACAGTGAAATAGTAGCAAGACCGGGAATGAGATTTGACTGAGCACGTAGTCCTGAAAAGGACTATTGAAGAAATGAGTTATGGCCCCAGCAAACGATTTTCAGGTGTCATACACTGATGTGTGGGCTAGGAAGCTAGTGATCGGTCTTTTACCTTGTCGAACTAGTAAGTAGTCTGACATATTAGGTGCGCTATGTATTTTCCTACCCTTTGGTACTATTGTTGGCATGGAAATATACTCATGTTCTTGTTAGGTTGGCCACGTCTTCTTGATCCAAGTTGTGTTGAAACCCTGTAGAATAGACTGGCAAGGTATCTAGTTTAGATATTCATCTAAGACAAATTAGTGTTCTATTGGTATAAAGGAGGAAACCGAGTCTTATTTCATACACCAATAAATAATTTATTCTAAAGATCTGATGAGCTATAATGAACAAGTACATACACAAGTGAAGGACACATGAAACTGACGAAAGTGGTAACAATTCACCGGAAACAGTTTTGGAGAAATTTTGAGGATGTTTGGTTTATTTTGGCTTTTTGTATCCGTTCGTCGTACAAGCGTTACTTTTACGTTTACGATCAGATGCACTGTTTGATACCTTTTTGTGATTGCTGTTGGGAGTCGACGTGGATGACTACAAGGAAAAGAGTGAGAACAGTAACCGACGCATGAGACAAGCATACACCAAGACATTTACTTACAGGTGAAAATGTACATAGGTAAAAGTTCGTAAACAATAATTTGAATAAATGTGAAATCACCAATAGGATTGTCGTATGCTTTTTCTGTTATTTTACCTATTAAGAATAAGTTTGAGCAGATGCATTGTCTAGATGAATAAGGCTCGTATACAAATAGCAAACTATATGCATTTCATAAATCTGAAGCTCTAAGTACGCAAAATACTAAGAAAATTTGTACTTCCAAACGTTAACATCACTATCATGAAGTTACAGACATCATTTGATTTAATCAAGTCTTAAAACAATGGATCGACAGATTACGATAAGTTGCTGGCGCACTAATTAATAATAGTCACTGGCGTATCTTGTACTTATCCTGGAACGAAATCTCTTTACTTATCACTTGTTAGTAGCCTCTGGAATTTAAAGACAGGATTTCAATCGCATATGCGCTCAAACATCGCAATAGGAAAAAATGAAGATTTTGACAAGAGAGCTTACCATTTTCAGAAGTAAAAATAGTGATAGAATTCTGTTTATACAGTGACGAGTATGAACCTGAGCACATGAAAGTAATCTAAGCGAGAGTAATTAACTAGATAACAACAAATGCCAGTGTGGTAATATGAGTTAAAAGTTATTGAGGACTTGTTCATCAAAGCTACACAATTCATTAATATGTATTATAGACCAGATGATTCGAGTTCATCTTTGTAACTAAATAGAATTAAAAAATTGTAAAATAATAAGCTTCCATTGACAGTACTTACATTACTTTTTGATGGAACACAGCTGAAAAAGTTGTCTATTCGACCTTGAGTAGTTGTATTTCTGGCTTTTAATAACTTTTTCGCTCCATTTCTTATACGTTCTTCACTTTTAATAGTCAGATGAACAAATAAAAAAGAAAATGCGGAGTTGCGTACATATACAAATAACGAAACCACAACGATGAACTATACAATGATGTCGAGTATGTTTAATGAAATCTGTAAAAGTATATTGTAGCGACGAAGCAATCAGATTCGGAGTTGTGGGAGAAAACCAAAAATCACTGACGAAGAGTTTGTGTTTTGTACTAAGATTTAGTTGCTGAGATGCTTAACATTGATAAACATGGAAATCCTAATGAATAGGGACTATGATTTATAATTTTTTAAAGATAACTTAAATGTCCCCGATACCTAAAACCAAGAACTTCTCTGCAAATGTCTTCATTTATATGGCACCACAGGGCAGTCGCCTTCTCTTATATTTACTACTAACTGATAACCCTAAACCTTCAACTCCAGCTTAACTCTTAAGCATGACCTAACTCATAGGCCTTAAATCAAAATATTAATCGTAAATCCTAACCAGGACTCATAAAGTTTTTCGGTTTCAATATAATAAACTATTTACTTGTATTACATGCATTCTTATTGACTAAGGATTTAACATTTCAGCGTAATTTGGGGGTTGCTGAAAGTCATCAGTAAAGCATACTCTTGCAAAACTTCCAATTGTTTTATTTGCATATAGATACAAGGAAGGAATTAAGTAGCTTTCATGCTTTTCTAAATCAGCATCGCTTTCATCATTGGCTGAAAAAGTTTCAAAACCACTGCATTTTTACTAAATAATAATAAGTTTTTGACGAATTGTCGACTAGGCAGTTGTATATCTGAATCTGATTGCTTCTTAGTGATTATCTACCTCATAATTTAGACAGGTTACTGTGCTTTGTATGGTGACTCCCAAATCGTTCAATAAATTACATATAGTTGTAATAAACTACAACAAAAGTTGAATTACAATAGTACACTTTTGAGATTAAATGAATAACCCAGCAGATGCCAGCAATATTTCTAAGGCATCTGTGGTCAAATACTAATAGCTTACGAGTGTCTTCTACTCTTAATGGCCATGTTTCGCTGCCGTAAAGTAAAACAGAACGGACTGCCGCGCAGTATACCCGTCGTTTTATTGATAGACGGATATCTCGCCTTTGCCAAAGGTGACGCAAGTTGGCAAAAGCCAAGCGAGCTTTTCGAATCCGTGCTGAAATTTCGTCAGACACCAACCCATTAGGGCTGATCAGACTTCCAAGATAAGTGAAGTTGCCAACGCGTTCGACTACTTCACTCCCTATCCTTAGTTCAGGTGTTGACGCAGACCAGTCCTGAAGCAACAACTTGCATTTAGAGGGAGAGAAGCGCATTCCAAACATTCTGGCATTGTTGCTTAGTGCTACCAAAAGACTCTGCATTTTGTCAGCGTGACTTCATATCTTTCTTTCTACGAACCAATTCTTTCTTCTTGTACTATATCTCTATATGCAATCTTTCTGTTATATATTACCACCTTTGACCTAACCACTGCTATGAATCCGGTGTTCATCTTGTTGTGCTGATGCGGTATGGCAACCTGGACCGATGCACATATGTGCCTGGTCCTACGTTGTAGCTGACTGACTGACTGACACAATCTATCTAAATTAAGCTAGCAGAGATGTATTGCTTGGAAATCAGATAACTGAAAAGATCGCAAGTGGTAATCGTGATAAAATCAGTCAATCAGTTACCACGCAGTACCAAGCACATATATTCAAGTTGCCACACCTAATTCGCACAAGATGACACACCAAATTCATAGAACTAGTCACTTCAATAGTAGTAATATATAAAAGATTGTGTATAAGGATATAGTACAGGAGGAAAGAATTAGGTCGTAGAAAGAAAGATATAAAGCAACTTTAACCTCGTAGTTTGAGCGAAGACAAAGAGTGTATACACTTACACTATTGTGATCGATTTTGAGCCATGTCACCCAGAGTCTCCAACCACTAGTTACGTTAGTCGCGCGGACCCCAACCAAGTAGTCTGCATCTACCAACATGACTCAGACTAGAAGTTAGTGACTTCAAGCACTGGTGCCATGTTTTGGTTTGACCGCCCCTAACTTTCTTCCAACGATTCCCAACACTAGCTAGTATTGCGTGTCGTGGTAATCGGTGTTCAGGTATACGTAACACGTGGCCCATCCATCTCAGTCGGCAAAGATTCACAAGCTCACCAACTGATTTATCATCATTCCCTAATACCCTGCGTCTAACCTCACTATTACTTACCCGGTGATCCCAGCAGATGCGAGCGATATTTCTAAGACATCTGTGGTTAAATACTAGTAGCTTTCGAGTATCTTTTACTCTTGATGGCCACAGAACGAACTACTGCGCAGTATACTCGTCTCTTAACTGATAGACAATATCTCGCCTTGGCCATAGGTGACATAAGTTGGCAAAAGCCAGACGAGACTTTTGAATCCGAAGAGATTTTGTCAGAAAATAAAATAAAAAGTTTCGAATGTTTAGCAGTACTCACTTGAACCCATGTTTGTGGCATAGAAACTCTACCAAACCTTCTTCATCTGGTTCATTCCATTTAAGCTAAATGAAGAAACCATAGTGAAACAGTCAGTAGAAATCCTCTACTTTATTTATTGCACTATAGAGACAAATATAGCTTTTCAGTGTAAAAGTCTATTTTTCCAATAAACTATCGGTAACATTCCACTTTAAGGTTCGTTATTTAGACATAAGGAACGTTATTGAGTAATCAGTGAAAAATAATCTGAAGTGATGAATAAGTAAGCTTATTATTAAATGTTATTCACAAGTTGGAGAGTGATTGATATGAAACCCCATTTTAATAGTCTATCCACAGAACAAACTTCTTGTAATGAGGTTACTCAGAGAAATGAGGCACATGCCAAACGAAAATTGAACTTATGACTTGAATAACTGTAATATTATTTCAAAAATTGCAGTCAAAATATTTGTTTTTATTTGAGAATACATTTGTCCAGCGACCTGTAGATAGGTTTGAACTTATTTGATCTACTTTGTGTCAGCTTTTGAATACAAGCAAAAAATACAGAGCCTATAACATTAAGATTGACATCAAGTTAACAAAAAGTCAGCGAATTCAACAATAAAATGTGTAACTCTTCCTCTCTTTCTACTATATGAACCTAAGAAAATGCTCAACTCCGTAGATTGACAGGCTTTATAGCAATATCTGTCATTGAAAAACGCACCAAAGAAGTACGTCAACTTTGTACAGACTCTCTAATCAGACACTACTAGTCAATTCAGGATTGATAACATCAAGTGTTCGTCGAGGTCATCCGTTTCCCCACTTTTTAACCAACTTTGCCATAGACATCCTTTCAGAGATAACACTTTTCTCATTAACCACTTTACTTATCTTAAAAGTCTCGTCAGCTTTGGTGGGATTGAGTAGGAAGAAATCTGGACATGGATTTAAGAAGCTCGCTTGAATTTCGCTAACTTACGTCACCTGTCCATCTCTCAACCAAAAGATGAGTATACTTTGTAGAAGTTCCTTTCGTTCTACTTTGTGGTTGTGAAACATGGCTTTTAAAAATGAAAGACATTCGTAGGTAACTAGAATGTTGTCATAGATGCCTTCATGTATTTTGGGACCATTAAGTGTGCAATGCTGACGTTAGACACACCATATTAGATGTAGATGGCAAATCATTCGAAATGCACAGTGATTCGTGGTCGCCTGAGATGGCTGGGACATGTATTACGTATCCTCAATCACGCTCTTACTTTAATGTAATCAGTCAGTCATCTACAATGTATGACCAGGCACATATATACATTGGTCCGAGTTGCCATACCTCATTAGCACAAGATGAACACTAAATTCATAGAAGCAGTTACTTCAATAATGCTTCGACACAAGATGATAGTTGATGTGAGCGGTTAGAAGAAGGCTAGGGACGGCCTAACCAAGGCATGGAATCAGTCCATGTAATCACTAACTGTTGGATTGAGGTACATGGGAGGGTGTAGACTATTTGGTTGGGGTCATTGCGATCATCTTGATTAATGGCTATACTGACTGATTTCCTAGTATTTGTAAGAATTTAGTTTCAAAAAATGTGGTCGTTTAAAATTTAGAGATGAGATCATTAATTTGTTTCTATCATACTGGGACTATTCGTAATCATTGAGCCAAAACACTGGGACACTTAGGGGTTAGTTAAAATTAACATATTCAACCAGCACATAAGTATACATGTTTATTGGCAGACTGGTTACTAGTATACCATCAATAGCATCAAACATGCAAAAATAAAATGACTAAAAAATATCTTGCTGTTATGTCTACAAATTATTTGCTTATAATGCATTAGTTCGTAGAAAAGTACACCTAAAAACAATTGAGGTTAAACAATAGTCTCTAAGGCACAACACAGAACGGATGGATGGTTAAATGTGGACTATGTAGGGACAAATTTAATTTGCTTTGGTGAAGAAATATAGATGTAAAAAATCTAATTGGTGACATACTTCAATTGATGAAGGGTCTGTCACCTCGGGATTCAAGAAAAGCTTTTTCGCATCTTCGTAAGGCCAATCGTCCGGGACAGGATATTTAGATTTATCGATATTCTTCAAAACACAATCAATCGACTGATACTTATGCAACAAATCTAACGCTTTCTTAGGACCGATTCCTCGTATTGTATCAACGTAGTCACAACCAAGTAATATGCACAAATCTATAAATTGATCCATATTTAAACCAAGACCTTCAAGAACTGACGTCAGGTTGAACTCTTGAATGGCCATTTTTCTATATAAAGAAATTAATAAACATTTTGTGAATATCACATGCTATTCGCATAAAGATCTATCTCAATTAGTTTGTACACTACACAAAAAGACGATAGCATAAGATATTCCCGGATTTTCTGAAGGAATCTAAATATTAGGAAAATCCGATGATTAAGTGTTCCACGTTCTTATGGTTAACTATAAAGGTATGAATTCAATGAAGGTATTGTATTTATTGAGAGAAGACAGACGATGTGAGAATTTCGGAGATCTTCTAATAGCAACAACTTGCGGATCTAGTACAATTTCTGCCTCATTATATGTAAATTTAAATTCAATTACGCTGCATTTAATTATGGGAAACACATATGTAGATGGGCGAAACAGTTAGTAAACACTTGTTGAAGCGAATAGCCCCATACACAGCAATACGCGAACCAGGTAATATTTGGTACTTATCAGGCTAACAGATTAACAAACTCATAAGGCTAGCATCACTCTTATATTTATCACCTCAAGTTATGTCTACGGACCAGTCACGAAAAAACGCGGAAGTTATCTTAAACTCGGACAACGAATTTCCTAATACTTTACATCAAGCTCGTTTACTAATCGACAAATAAAGAACCCAAGAAGTGATGTTAGAATTAACTAAAGAAAATGCTATATACTAGTGAATAGTAATCTGAACTGGGTTTGGTAATCCACTAAGTTCAAAACAGTTATGACGTTAATATAATTACTCATTTTTCAGTTTAATATCCGTGAAGTGGAACAACATACCGCACTGCAGCCAGGTAATAGCAGCTAACAGCTTCAATATTTAAGGATTGATTTACGAGCTCATTATTAAGTGAACAATTGTTAAAGTATGTTAACTGAGAGGTGATAATGTTAACAGTCATAATAAATATAACATTTGAAAGCGAAATTCGGTTTCGTTGGTTGTTGTATTTTGGAACAGTAATCAACAGTAGAAAAATACCCAGAAAATTTAGAAACCAACTTAAGGTCTTCACATTACTTATCGTAAATCGTAGGACAGGTCAGAATAACGATATACTGAATATGCACTAAATCTGTACAACGAGAATTATTTGTCACTAGTGCATTAACAACAAAACAAAATCATTCACTCAACATATGGTTGTAAAGTGAAGGATGGGATATCTTTGACAATCAAAATATGAGTCTGAATAGGTCTAAAATGAAGTAATTACCTGGCTTCACTGAATGTCAAATGTCGTAGCAGAACTGGAGTACCAAATGCCAATGCATCCATATCTTCAGTCCCTACAGCATAAACTTTTCCTGACTTCGCCAATACTGCGCATTGCGCTTCTGCTTCTCCAGGTGCCTGAAACAGCCAAATTAGCGATGTAAAATCAAGGAATAAGGGGTAAGTAAACAAGTGTATATTCTTGTCATATTAGCTATTTGTTTTCGACAGTCACATTAAGTAAAAGAGCACGGATGATCTGATTTTAAGTGAGTGAACCACGACTTCACAACCGTTTTTAACCAGTTGCTTAAAAGTTAGCAGACAAGTAACACCCGTATCTGTTACGCTGAATATATACTTCAGAGTAATCAGGTGTAACTATGTAACCAATATATATTAGTTAAACTATGAACATCGTCAATTCAAAAGCCTTCAACAAAACTACGTTCATTTGTACATTTTGGCAACCAGAAGTTATCAAACAGTCTAGTCCAAGTGTAAAAGCAATTCTAGATGCAAATTTATTCGATAGGCCTTCAACTTTACTATTCATTTTGGCAATATCTGTGGTACATGATATTCAGTGTAAGAAATAAAAGGCGATTTTACTAGATCTGGATGGAAACAACTCCAACTGTTACATTTATTTATCTCTCACCTAATTAGCTCTCTAATTTTTCTATCAAGGTTACATATATCGAACTGATGATGGATCGATAATCGATATGTTGTCATTTCACGGGCTATTTTACGTGGCCTTACTTAAAAAGATTCCTAAATTATCATATCTGGGAGGAAGATATTCGCTAATATAAGTAATAATAAGGATTTCGGTTTACGAGAATAGTCTTTAGGTACACAGTTATTAATTAATACTTCAAAAATAAACTTGATATTTGAAGCAGTTTCTGATGCTTCATATCCCTATTTGAACCCAAATAAGAGTCAACCAAATCTGTTTTTTATTTCATGAATACTTTAAAAAATATTCTGGAACAGTGCCACAAAATGGAAATAATAAATAAAAGCACTGGATTTTCTTAATGGAAGGGCCTGTTCTGCAAACCAAATGTTAGTAATTATCGTTACAAAAACACCAAAACCTAATCTTACACTCGTTCCTCAGCAGTACATGTGAAATACAATAAAATGCGTGCAGGTTGTCATAATTCTACTGAATGGCTATAATAGACCAACCATAAATATCATATAGTGAAAGGTGAAGACAAGATACCTGATAGAAAAGTGAAAATTCAATCATAAAAGGCTGTGAGAAAAAAGAAAATAATTTATCAACCACCAGCAAAATTTTGCACGTTACTCAAACACACTGAGGTGTGTCCTTACGCAAAATTCCGTTGACCTTTTCTAATTCAATTCCACTGACCTAGAATAGGAAGTAGTCAAATAATACTTGCTAATGCATAATGATCAGTGCACGCATGTTGTATGACTAAAAGGTAAGTTTGGAACGTAGTACTTGACATAAAAGATCTTAGTTTTCTATAATATTCAGTGCTGACAATTCAGCCATATGCATCCATAGCTTGTGTCAGTTCTCCTACTCATAATTCCAAAGCTTTAAACAGTTGGCAGCATTTCCTTTATAAATAAATGATAATGACTGCTCGTGACAACTAATTCTGGATTGTATATGCGAATAAAATATGACAGAAATTACAGAAAACTTAAGACTTAATGTTTCGATGTTTAATTAAAATCCACTGTACACTTTTCTATTCACTTAAGTAAAAAATATTAATCCAAAAACCAAACGATGGCATTTAATCACAGTAGTCAGAAAAATTCCTCACAAGGAATACTGATTAATTCGCTGAATCGAAAAGACTAAGATGAAGTACTGAAATCTGACTTCATAGATTACAAGTATATGTACAAGCTTGTCAATGTACGTTCGGAACATCTTAATATTGTTTCACCTAGTTCAGAAATGACCTGCTGGTTAGAATCGTTGGTTAGCAAATAGTGTTGCTCGAAGCTGAGGACTAAAACACATGCTTAGTTATTTAGCTTCACTATACATTCATGTATTTTTAAGGATATTCAGGGTACAGAAACCCGGAGGAATATCAACCTGACGTTTTAATTCAGATTATTTTTTATTCACAAATATTTTTCTTACCGAATATGAAAGCGAATAACTGGTGTAGGTAACCAGGACATGAGTATTAGTCACTATTTACTCTATTCTTCCTAGGCCAGGTGGAAAAATAACTATTAATCGAGTTGCAGAGATGCCTTGATTATGCTATATACTTAAAAGGAAAATTATTTTAAACGATAAATTGGTCGAAAAGCTTAAGGATTTATTACAAGAACTCACATTAACAAACGGAACGCCCATTAAATTAAGAAGCTGTCTGCAATCTTCGTTATGAGCCGGAGTAACCTTAACTAAACGTTTGGAGAATTTCTCAATAGCTTCTAAATCTTCTTCAGCTTCTGCTTTGGCTAATTCTTTAGTTGATTCAATACGTCTGTCAGAGCGTTTGGCTAACTCTCCAGCTTTCATAGAGGGTGGTTTTCCTTCAAAAACATATACAGGTTTGATTCCATTTTCTATCATTCTTATTGTTCTATAAAACATGCCCATCAAATGGCTAAAATATCAGGAAGCAAAAAAGAGAGCACAGTGTCAAATACAGTGCTGAGGCAGTCGCAGTTGGGAACCAATGAACGGAAAATCTAATGAATACAATCTTATAACTTTGAACAGCATGAGTGACCATTAATGTCGCCACGTAGCGTCTATGATCTTGTTTTCGCTCTTAAAGTTCTATAATGCTATCTCTTGAAAAAAATTATTAGCTACCGCCAAGTTTTTTTTAACTTACACTACATCAAGGTAACTCACCACCCAAAGGCCCTTGTACAGTTGAGAGAGGCGAGTCAGGTATCGCTCTCTCTCGAAATGTTCCCACATGGCCAAGTGTATAGAGCTACTGTTAGGGAAGTCCTGCTCACTGACTTCTCGCGGTGCGAGTGTTGCTTACGAAATTGAGAGGACGAAAATCGAATGTCCGACGCTTAAACTGGGTTGATGGACACGGAGGATCCACCTGGGGGAGTTGGAAAACCGTGATTCCAAACCAATGTTGCGCATAGGCTCCAGGATCCTGAGGTAACAAATGGCGCATGAACCTATTGTTGGTCACCAGATACCATGGAATCGCATCTTTTAATGTCGGTCCACTACTTTGTGGATCAAACCTCTCGGTCAAAGGCTCGGGGAGTGGTCTTCTAAGAGCAGGAAGTCCGCAGGAAACTCCAATTCTTGAGGCGCTACAAACCACTAGGCCCAGATGACCTAACTCCGGCCCCTTTTAAAGATGGTGGTGACTTTCTGGCTTCGGAACTGGCTGAGTTGTTTGCAAAGGTCTGGCAGTTAGAGACTGTTCCAACATCATGGAATGAGTCGATAGTTGTCCCTATCTTTAAAAAGGGTCCACATCACCTATGCAAAAACTATCTGGAGATAGGTCTACTTCCGATTGCGTTCAAGCTATTGGCTTCCGTCATATTTCGTAGGTTGTTCAAAATCCGAAAAAGATTGACTCGCGAGGAGCAGGCTGGGTTTCGTTCTGGTCGAGGATGTATTGATCATATCTTCACCCTTCGCCAAATGTTAGAACACCCTCATCCTCATACTTATCACAGGTCAACAATCGTTGTGTTTCTTGACATGGCTGCCTTCGATTCGTTGGACAGGACTGTACTCTGGGATTGTCTATTGAAGAAGGGTGTGCCTGAGGAGTTTATAAACATCTTAAAGGCACTATATACAAACATCTCAGGCAGAATGAGGGCATGCAACCACCTCTCTCCATTGTCCCATTCGAGCAGTGGGGTTAGGCAGGGTTGCCCAATCTCACAATTCCTCTTCAACTTTGTCATCGATGATGTTTTGGAAACAGCTCTGATAGATGTACGCAATGCACTTATCTGGACTATTTTGATGTTTTCATGATGTTAGTTTGGTTGTAAAAGTCGGATTTGTGATGTGTTGGTGGGAGAAGTTCTGTTCCACGACTGTGAAACATGGCTTCTCTGAGTTGAGGATGTAAGACGATTCTATGTTTGATCAGCGTAGTCTCTGAGAAACTGTTGAAATTAAGTGGCAACACTATGTTAATCATGCGGAGCTTCGGCAACATGTGTTCAGGCACAGAGACAATAATTTGATTAGCGTCACTATCTTGAGACATCGACTTCGGTAGCTCGTCCCAAAGAATTCCATGTCATGCATTATTTGCCAACGCTGGTTGAAAAAAGCGGAGAGGTGGTCAGTGTATGACATGGTGTGGTGTTATGAAAATTGTATAGGACTGGCTTCTGTTGGTCCCTCACGACTCCCTGATTGGGGTCCTAGAGATAGTGCGACACAGTAGCTTGAGACATTATCAGACATGGCCAGTGGCGATCCTATTGTAACTTTCCTTTATTTTCTTCGTAAAGGCGACGTAACTTCTGTAACTGAAAGAACTCTTTCTGGTTATATTTTTGCTAACTGAACTGTTTCTCCCATTACTATCGTTATTATTTTACCATCATGCACTAATTTGTGTTCGTTGTTGTTCTTTTTATTGTACACACTTTACATTCTCTACCTCTTCACAGCCTCATGGTTATTGTGGCACATATGTATTTGGTGCCTCCTTGTACCAATGTTTATGTGTTTAAATAAATAAATAAAAGTAACCTACACGATTTTTGATACTGAAAAAAACCCAGGCAACCGAACAGACAAACGAAATATATATAATCAGAAAAATTAGCCATGTAATCGCATTCTAAATGTCGAACAAACCAATACTTGAGGTGCACATATGAATCGCGAGAAACATTTCAAAGATACTCCGTCTTTAACGTTACAACGCCACAGAGGATTTTCTGACTCATCACTTAGATCATTTTTTGTCATCTACAGATTTGAAACTTAGTGATGGAATATGATGTGTTTTTCTTTCTTGTGGAGTATTCACCACAGTTTTTATAACGTCCTGGTAACAAAAAATTTCAATGAGATCAAAGCTAGTCTAACGCTCTGTCGTATGTATAAGTAACTTTTATTTAAGTTCAATTTTGATTTTCTTGACTTCGAACTTATCTCTAATAGGTTTCTTAGTTGTGTTTTTACTACGTCTGTTGAGGTGTAGGCATAATCAGGAGGACACCATGCTTACCACCCTTTAATACTATTTATTGCTGGTGAACTATTTCCTTCGCCCTTAGCTTCCCGTCTCACTTGATAACATTTCTCATCTCTCATGCTTCTAATCTTGTTATGTTTTCCTTTCGATGTGATAACATGACAATGTAGCAGCTTAGATTGAAACACATTTATGTCAGGCACTAATCTGACTTATGATTGATATAATCGGTGTTTGGACATAGAAAAATACATGCATTGCCTACTGATAAGTTCAAGAGTCCATGAAATTTTCACTTTTCTGCTGACGAGATTTAAAGAACGTTTTAAATGGGGGGTAAGATAGCTACGTTCCAAAAATAAGACGCTTCATGTTTACGGGATTATTTGTAAAACTCACCTAGTCGACTCTCCTTCTGCATTCATCAGAGTATTCCCTTCTTGTCTAACAGCAATAAGAAACTGGTAAATTGACATAGAAGCGTCAATTGCTACTTTTCTTCCTATAAAAAACTCGGTAACAAGAATGTCTGTAGTTATCCCAACCGAAATATGATTTGATTTCACAGCTTTTGACTGCTTTCTGTGCATTATCACCAATTACCTTGCTCAACTGATGAACTCCCATGTTTACGGCAGATGATCTATAGGCCCGACTTAATAATCGTGCACACAGAGTCCGTCGGATGGTGAAAAGTGGAACGGGATACAAGAGTAATGATGCAATGAGGTTAGAGTTGATGCTCCGTTAAGAATTAATGTATTGAGCTACACGTCTGAAAAAGACCATTTCACATTATAACTTATTCTTAAGGTAGATCAGATACATTAAACTCAAAGTATAATGCAATCATAAAATGTTCCAAACCATAAAATAGCACAGAAAAGGATATATAAAAAACACATATCTTAACTAGGAGCCACAATAGCTTAAAATATACAGGCTAGTATAAATGTGGCAACACAGGCACTCAATCGTTACAGATGAAATAGAAATAGATATATCTAGGTGGTGTCATATTTAAATCGGATTTATGTGGACGTCCCCAATATTGACCCTTTGACTCAAAACCCCGGATTCGAATCCTAAATCCTAATACTAACCACTCATATTAATTTAAAACTCTTTTGATGTTAGTAATTAAATAACATTAATGCCACTCAAAGGTCATCTATAAATCAGCATCTCGAAATTTCTTACTGCTATGTACAATGTGTGGTGAAAAGTTGCTAAGCCTTTCTACATCAAATCACTTATTTCAACGGGTCGTTGGATAACAATAATTAGTTTAGCAGTAAGTTTCGCTATTTAATTTCTACCTGTTACCTGTGACATTTTGGCGACTATGAAATACGTGGTAGTGTGTATCTGACAGGATACTTCACGCTATTGCGCATGCAGTTGTGTGATGAAATGTAGACCGCCAAAACCCCATTTTGAAAGTCGACAATTAGTGTGTAACGTCAGCTTACAGTAGGGCAATATGCTAACAAAAATAACCTCACACTTTTGACAGAAATTTCAGTAAGCTACATAGCTAGACGACATCACCCAAGCTCTCAATTTTGGAGAAATTTTGACCCATTTAAGGGAAGCCGCTATAGTAAGCTTTGGGGAAATGGAATAAAAACCCCCGAAATTTCCCCAAAGTTGGGAGCTTGGGCAATAAGGACTTTTTTCAAGCGTTCTCACTATCGTCGATTCATTTAATTGTGCTCCTTAATACGATTCGAACGTTTGAACTTACTTTTAATGACAAAGTAAGCTATCGAGTTATTATTTTTAAAAGGATAACCTACAGAAATTTCATTACTTACAGTGTGGTGTGCAACTCGATCAGGAACAAATCACCAAAGAAGATACAAATGAGTAGTCTCAGTGGCTAGGTCAAAAGTACGTTGTTTGTCTGGGAAGAAGAAATGCGACAAACCGCACAAATTCGAAACGACGCGCTAGGGATTTCGCGCAAATTTTTTCAGTCATCAGTATTAAGCATAGGAGGCTTATCAACCTAAATCAATCCTTGCAGTTTCAATAAAGTGAAGGATCAATCTCATTTCGAATATATCAATAGAAAGCGCTGATATTACGATTTCCGGCAGGGAATTTCAGTAATTCACTACTCTGTGCGAGAAGCGAAACTCCAGGCATAGACGATTTGCTCTCGCTTTTCGAACTTTCTTCGAATGTCCTCTCAAATTCTTAGTCCTAGACGGAGGGAGAAAATAAGACATAATAATGCCAGGGTTGTCGTTCAGTACACGATAAGCCAATATTAAATCACTCCGTATTCTACGGTAAAATAACGGAACCAAGTTGAACTGTCTGAGTCTGTGTTCATCATATAAGTCAGAATAACCTTTTACCATTCTAATCCTCTGTGTTGGACTCATTTCAGGATATCCGCCTCATACTTGGAACAAGAACTCGCTGCTTGAATCCCATATTTCAAATGCAGTCTCATGAGAGTCGGATATAATAATATAAATATTTCTTTGTCCAAATACTGAAAAGATCTATGAATGGCCTGTATTACCCTATAGCCTTTTGCAGCAGTAGCCTTGCGCTTACTCGTAGTTTCGAGATCTCAGATTAGTATGACTCTTAAATCTTTATAGTCCATTACTTTGGGTAACATGCATCCACGTATTGTTTTGCGATACAAATGATCATAGTTATTTATTGCATCACCACACTCTTGATAGGATTCATTTGTAATAACCACCTATCCATCTACGCCACCAACCGGTTTAGATCACCCTGTAGTACTATTTTATCTGACATATTGTGCACGGGTCTCCAAATATTTACGACAAAGTGTAAAACGGATGGTTTTGACACAGTTGGTAATTCATTTACATAAAGTAAAAAGAGAAGACAACAGAATATTATACCTTGGGAGAAATCCACTTTTTGCAGTTTTCCACACTTCTAGAGCTCCATTTACCCTCGCCATCTGTCTCCTGTCATGAAGAAAGTCACTTATCCAACCGATGACCTTATAATGGATTCCAAGACTTTCCAGTTTTATGTTAAGACCCGAATGGGAGACGTTAGCAAATGCTTTACTTAGATCAACGAAAATTACATCTACAGGAATATTTCTATTACATATTTTTAGATTTAGGTGTATTGTATATCTTTATTGTGTCGTCGGCCCGCTTTCCTAGCCTTTTCTCTTCGAGATTCGTTCACATACTGCACCTCACACTTCCGCGGCACACAAGGTATCTTGTGACTATACTGTTGAAATATTAATGAAAATATCTCAAATATTATTCTGTTAAGTCTAATGCTATCCTTGAACGTGAAATGGTGTCATTTTCCTATTGGTCAATATCCACGGCCGTCCTAACTGTATAAACATACATTTGTCTGTAAAGTATTGTTATTCTTCTCCTGACCTCATAAACAATTTTCATTTAACGGTTCGTGTTCTGGTATATTTGAGATTGGGGAACAGTATTGGGGTCATATTGGGATATCTGAAGTTGGTCAATCGGTAGAATTTAGAGTAGCCAACCCGAGGTACACAATATATACACAAAATCGTCCAAGGCTAAACGGCAAGGCAGAACCTCTCGAGACATGCTCTACATTACTAGATTAACCAAGCACCCAGCAGTCAGATAATATGTTCATTTAGTCGATTATTTTTGCATATTATAGCGCAATGTTGATTAAAGAATGAGTAAGAGCATCTTTTCGTTCAACCTATTCGAGTTAGCGTCACATCACTTGAGCATTCTACAAAGTACACTGACAAGCCGTGAAGGCATGTGATTTAGTCGTAAAGATTATTATTAGGACTTGAAGAGCCATATAAACAACAAAAGACTGGTACGCCAAGACCGAATATTTTGGCAAATGAGAACCAAACCCAAAAGTTCACTGGATGAAACATGTCGTCCATCATTCTAGCTAAGAAGGACATGGTAAATCACGCTTGATTCCGACTGGTTGTTATGTCAGGTAGAGAACCGTAAACAGAAGTTCAGCTTATTTCTAATCAAGTTCACCGACACGCATACATTTAAGTTTTCCGAGCTAATGTAGATATGTTGTAATGTAAACAGTAATCTTTTCGTTGCATGGATTGTATTAAGTTTTATAGGATAATTTTTAATGTTCCCAGTACAAGCTTTAAATTTCACAATATTCGCTTTTATTTATGAAGCATTATTAGCTGCTCTACAATAAACAAGTCATAAGGTAGCCTGTTGAATATATTTAATTGGAGACTAGGAATGATGTGTAAAGTGTTTTAACAACACGTCGTTTCCAAAAGTTTTGAATCCGTAATTAGCATGTCATACGAAATGATTGATCAACAGGGCATTTCGTAGTTCCAAAGCTAAATGCTTTGCGTGGCTATGTCTCAGTTAATTGCATTAGTTAATAGAAATATCAATTCCTTACCGTGAAACGTCAGATCAGCAACGATCTCTACACGGTTTTTGCTGACGGAAATTGGGTGAATGTTCATGGTGCTGAGGGTCAACGCTGAATAATGTTATTCAAATCACTCCTGAATCTTTACTAATTGTACGTTTTTGATTTGTTTGTTTGTAGCAGAAACGTTTGAGAATATTTATCTGTTAATGACTAATCGCTTAAATGTTTATTTGTGGGGACCTCAAGATTCCTGAATTTAATTGATTTTCAGTCAAAGTATCAAAACGTTTTAAGAAATTTACGAATGTTTGGGGCTTGAAGAACGGACTCCTATCGCCCTAGTTCAGAAGAACATTGAGACTGTCCACCTATTTGCTGACTGCTCTGTTAGATTAAACAATGCTTTGAAAAACTACTCATATCCATCACCTTAACCTGGGGATTTATTCATGAAACTAAATGGTTGTCTTTATTTCGCAAAACTTGATTTGTTTGATTCTCGTTTGTTAGTAGGAGTGGGCTCTGATCCTAGTCATTTTCTGACTTATCATGGTCTCTACCAGTAAAACAGGCTGTCATTCGGATTAAAACCAGCTTCTAAAATTTTTTCAACAGCTGGTGAACATTAGGATATCGAATATCAATGTCCTTTCCGTCGACTTACTTATGTCTGTTACTCCTAATGGAGCATGGGCCGCCGAGCAGCATTCTCCAACTCACTCTTTCCTGGGCCTTCTTTTCTATTTCTATCCAATTTTTGTTCATTTTTCTCACGTCTATCTCCATTTCCCGGCGTAATGTGTTCTTTGTTCTTCCTCTCCTCCTTTGGCCTTGAGGATTCCATATGAAGACTTTTAGTGGCCCGTGGATCTGACTCCAAGATCGTATGAATGATTGTTATCGCCTATTCTCGTATATAATCGTCGACTTAAATCGCGTTATCCAATAACGGAATTAAATAAGTCGAATAACGAGAACTGACTTGAGAATACATATATTTCGTACATGAAGCGAATGAAACGGAGCAAAGCGAAATGACACGCATGGAAGGTGGCTGGGAAGCCAACTCCATTTTAGTCAAGCGTTACTCAATATTTATAGTCAAACAAAATAAAGCTACAGACATGTGATTAATGGAATAAGAAGGGCACACACATATACGCTCATATAAAAACAATCAAGACTGACAAGCGAATAATTAACAAGGTCAACATATGACTCAAGTAGAATGAATAGATTTGTTTGTCCAAAAATTAGAATAAGATATATTATGAACTTAAAATAATGACTGACACTACAGACTTGCCTCGTGACACAGTTTGGTGCTTTCATCAATGTGTGTCCTATCCACTTCCAGCGCTTCTTCCTGATTTCTTTTTCCGTTGGGATCTGGTTTGTTCTCTCCCACAGTACGTTGTTGCTAGTAGTGTCCGGCCAATGGATCTGAAGTATTTTGCGTAGACAATTGTTAATAAACACCTGTATTTTCTGGATGATGGCTTTCGTAGTTCTCCAGGCTTCTGCCCCATACAGTAGAACTGTCTTGACATTTGTATTGAAAGTCCTGACCTTGGTGTTGGTTGACAGCTGCTTTGAGTTCCAGATGTTCCTCAGTTGTAAATATGCTGTTCTTGCTTTGCCGATCCGCGCCTTCACATCTGCATCAGATCCACCCTGTTCATCAATGATGCTGCCCAAATACGTAAAGGTTTTTACATCTTCCAAATCGTCTCCGCCAATTGTGACTGGGTTGGTGAATACTGTGTTGTATGGGAGAATCTTGCTTTTCCGTTTGTGTATATTGAGACTTACTGCTACTGAGGCTGCTGCTACACTGGTCGTCTTCTCCTGCATTTGTTGTTGAGTTTGAGATAGAAGAGCCATATCATCTGCGAAGTCTACATCGTCCAACTGCATCCTAGATGTCCACTGTACTGCCGCCGACTTAGGTGATATTATTGTTGTAGGTTCCTCAGAAGAAGAATTATTTTTTCATTTGGATAAATTACAAGGAGAATATCTGCGTTTGGTTTTCAACTAGGAAAAGATAAATGTGAATTACATCTTAAATCTGTAAAGTGTCTTTGATTTATATTCGATGACCACTGTCGTCCACTGGGACCAGGTAACATATATTCTACTATGCAAATGCCTCCACGTAGTGCTGTAATGGTGGTACGGTCAGTTCTAGGCAAGATTGTATATGACAACGTTTTTGTTCCTGGTATGCAGACAGTATGCTATCCATTACATCAGCTCTCAACAACTAATGAAACATGAAAGTGTTCAGACGAGCGTCGAAATTCCTTTGATAAAGTCAAGAAAATCTCATCCCTCGATTTATTATTGACTCGTTTTAAATTGATATTTGAAATAATTGTTGCTGCTGATGCTTCTACTTATGATGTCAGTGTTATTGTTAGCCACCGTTTTTCAAATGGTACAAAGAAACCCATGGCTTATGCGTCAAGACCTTAAATGTGACAGAATGAAATTATTTAGAATAGAGAAGGAGGAGTTACCTTTGGTTTTCCCTTTCATGAAATTCCACGAAATGATTTGTAGGCGTTCTTTTACATTA